TTTCAATGCGGCAAAAGAGATATGAAGTTCTCAGGCTGTGAGAAAACTTACATGAGCATATTAACATATTACTCTCTTCGTTCGCCGTCGGCATGTTGTTCTTATCAGTGACAGCTCTTCTGATCTAAAATCATTTCAGAGACTGAGCAATTGATTAAATCGAGATCTTTTGCGCTATTGTTATTAGGTTGTCAAGAAAATAATGTCGGTTTTTATTTGCTTGCTTTAACAGCAACCAGACTCAACCTAACAAAGGGTGAGGGGTACTGTTCAATAGAGCAAAGCAAGCTCTACAAGATGGCACTCATATCTTTGCGATATGCTCGATCCACGGAGAGTTCGAACTCAAAATCTAAAGATTTCCAAATGCCCAAAAAATCGAAAAAAAATCAGATCTTCGTCCAAATAATTTCTACGGACCTCCCACTCGCTCACATCAATACTATCGATATCTGATATCCATATGTGCGATTGCCGTATTTTTTCCTTGACTAGAAACTGAGAAAACGAAAATTTTCTTGATTTTCTCAAAGCAATGCTGAGCCGTTTTTGCATATATAGTTCTATACTACAAACCTAGGTAAGCATAACTGTAGGTTTTCAGCCTATTTCGAGCAGTACTTTTCGAGAAATGTCGATCTTAGCACTGAAACTGAAACGAAAAAATCCGAATTCGTTATTTTTCGAAAACTACCGCTTGGAATGGGCTGAAAATCTACAGTTATACTTACCTAGTCTTGTAGTATAGAACTACATATGCAAAAACGGCTCAGCATTGCTTTGAGAAAATCGGGGAAATTCTCGTTTTCTCAGTTTCTAGTCAAGGAAAAAATACGGCAATCGCACATATGGATATCAGATATCGATAGTATTGATGTGAGCGAGTGGGAGGTCCGTAGAAATTATTTGGACGAAGATCTGATTTTTTTTCGATTTTTTGGGCATTTGGAAATCCTTAGATTTTGAGTTCGAACTCTCCGTGGATCGAGCATGGCGCAAAGATATGAGTGCCATCTTGTAGAGCTTGCTTTGCTCTATCGAACAGTACCCCTTACCCTTTGTTGGGTTGAGTCTGGTTGCTTTGTTAGAGCAAGCAAATAAAAACCGACATTATTTTCTTGACAACCTAATAGCTGCTGTCTAAATCCAGAAGTGTTTAAGTTGTACGCAAAAAATTGCAGATAATCCTTATGGCTTTTGGAATCACCGATAAAGCTTCAGCATAACTTTATTGGTTTGAAGACAAGAGAAAAACGGCAAAATGGAAATGTGCTCATTCCACCCGCACCTCATGTTAGATATTAGATATGGCTTAAGATGAATGTGTGGAAAAGAGGTTTCGCAATAATCTGTTCATTCAATTTGAGTGCGAGAAGCTTGTAGAGTAGTGCAGTACAACGTTTGTTATATTATTCAGATCCTACCGAATTTCTGCCAGTAGCAGTCGTGTAGCGTTATGCAAGTTGAAGCATTTTCAACTGCTCAATAGCATATAACCAAGCTTCTTACTCTGAAGCAAATTGAAACAATTCTTCACTTCTAGCATATCACAGCTAGAATTCCACTTTCATGCACAAACTCCAAGCATTTACTAAGGTTTCTTAAAGTTCCGAAGCAACACTGTCAAGCAAAAGACCAACTTTTCTTATTTATTGTAAAATCCACCAATTAAGAAAGGAATTCCGATTGCATTGGTAACCTGAGCAGATATAATCATTTAAGGATCTGCACCGCTCCCTATCCTCTAGACGTTTCCTTCAAAAGGTATAAGCTTTGCTATACCTGGAATAGGTTTGAGGGCGCTGACTACAACGAAGGAGCACTCTAGTAAAAACCGAAAGTGATTACAACCCATAATTGTTTCAAACAGCTTACTTACAAGTGTACTTGTAAGTGTTCACCAAATGATTAGATTCAGACATTTGAACGCGCATACTGACAATGAGTAAGCTATGCTTACACAGCATTTCAAAGATCTTCTTCCTTTGCTTGTTAAAATTCCACTTCAGCGTGCGCGTATTACCCTTCTCCATCACTTCTGAGCAATAATAAAATGAATTTTGTTTTTTTTTAACTAATCGAGACGTTTTGCGACTCTATGAAGTCAGATATAAGTAGGAACTGCAGTAAAGATATCCATGAGGCTTCAAATTAAAGGCTATCACCTTCTTGCTCTTTACGTTGCAATTTCATGTGTAGGCCGGAGAAACGTAGTTACTTTCCTTAGCAAGTGCAGCAGCGCCACAACAGATTTATATAACAATCTTATTTCAGCTGTTACTCAAAGCATATAATCAAATACCGGCTGGCTACTTTATGTATTATGCATACTTAGATCTCCAGCTTGCTGGAGATCTAAACACATGGGAAAAGGCTTTAGAAAATTGTAGCACATTGCGAAAAGAAGGACTTTATGAAAATGTGGGGACATCGCCCTTTTATTCAGCCGACGCATGAGTTCGATGTCGTGTTTGATCTGATATTTGTTTTCTAAGGCGTCCAAGTTGAAAGCATGAAATCCTCTCTTAAAAATACAGTGAGTCCCCTCAACCTGATTGCTTTAGACCTCATTGCATTTTAGATGATTCTCATTTTTTTGTGATCGCTGGTAATTTTTTCAGCTTTGCTTATCAGAAGCACGTTTGAGTAACACTGCTCTGTTTGAGGGACGAGTGGCGTACATAGTGGTAGGAAGCGCCGCTATGACCAGGTCGTACGCCGGTTCGATCCCGCCCCCCTCCCCCAGCCAACCAATCCCCTACTCTCCGGAGTGGTAAATGGGTACCAGAGTAATCTGGGAGGATAAAAGCACTGGCTTGGTAAACGGCTGGCCCCCGCAGTCACTGTGAAGGCTCGCACGCATATGATTGCCTCTTTGACTCTATGAAGTAGTGTTTGTTCGGCGATGCCCGTAGAGGCTACTTAAGACGCTGAATTCTCTATCCTTTTATGCTCTGTTTTAGTTGTAACTGATTTGAAAATAGCAGAGAAAAAATATTCGAATGCCTTGCAAAGAGTTTCTTTACGCGCCAGCTTAATATATTTAATTCTAGATTTGCTTGAAATAAATCTGCGATGCCTGAGCTGTTGAAATCTTTACAGTACGAAAAAACACATCTATAGATTTTTGCAGCAGAAATTTTGTCCCGTCTGAGTTGCGCCGTTAGCTGCTATACAATAATAATTTTGCAAGGTAGATATTACTGTTATCTATCTAAACAAGACCATGTGTGCGTATGTAACATATATACCAGCAAGAGCAGTAATACCAAGTTTCACTAGCAAAACCTTAACCCTGGATTCAATTCTGCTTTCTTTACAATCGGAACGAACAATAGTAGCATTGGAGATCGATTTGTCTTTTGTAGCTTATCTATGAGGTTTTATGTCAGCAAACTAGCAAATCGCACATCCGAATGACATAACTTTATAGAGCGGTCTGTTAGGAGAACTGAAAAGAGAATTTAGACACGCTGGCTCTTATGATATTTTGTCCCAATGGATGATTGGTCCTACATTCTTACAGTTTAAGCAATTCTACTTCTGTTCACTCTCAAAGCCTCCATAATATCTAATGAAAATCCTTGTTCAACTTTATACTACATGGTGTCCCAAAAGTAAGTACATATTTTTTGATCTTTGATAACTTTTCTTCCACAAAGCCTTTTGCTTAGGCTTAGGCAGCTTTCTGTACAGCAGGCCTCGTTAGACTCATAGCATGAAGCCAGTCATCCACCTCTCTTCAATGTAGGACTACGTTACGAATAAGAAAGGCTATGAGCCATTAAGGGACCCCACGCCCCAAAAAGCAAGTTAAACAACCTGAAAATTTCTAACTAGGCTATTCAAAGCCGCTAGCACCAAACATGGGTTTTGCACTTTTCTGCAATAATCCGTTCACAAGTTAAAGGCACCGTCCACCCAAAGTGAGGGTTGATGAGATTTCGGTGCATACTAGTGTGGGCCCCCACACTAGTATGCCACCGAAATCTCATCAACCCTCATTTGGGTGGACGGTGCCTTTAAGCAAAGTACCGCAATGGTTGCTTTCACCATGCTACATAAGTTTGTGATTACGACTTTTGAAAAGCCCTACAAACTCATGAAAAGTTGAGTAAATCAGCGCTCGTGAAAAACCCTCGCACACAACTTTTTAGGTTATTTGAGCTAAAAGTTCTAATGTAATCTTACAGTAACCAGCGATGGGTGATTCGCTTCATATTGTAGATCTAATTTGAGCTGAAGCCAGCTCTACTAAATAGTATTTAGAGCTAAGTAAAAGACTTGTTGGGAGGAGAGATATTAACGAGATCAAGAAGTGTGTACTTCCTTTTGGAAGCCCTGTAATTTCGCATCACGCATAAAAGCTACCAAATCTGCGCTCGTCCTAAATGTAGTCGGAAGAAAACTATACTGCAGACGAAATTACATTGGTAACTTTTGATTCAACTGCCTTGGCGGCTGGAAGGCGGGCTTTGTCCTAATTAAGGCCGCTCGCGCCCGCGACGCTGTCTACGTCTCTCCCGCGCGCGTGCTCTCTGATCAGTACCAAGCCTTAACTAGGTCACGAAACCCTGCCTTCCAGCCACCAAGCCAGTTGAATCAAAGGGTACATTTATTTATAATGAGGTTTATAAGTTTTAGAATATCGAATGTAGATCGTGTTGAAATGATCTTTTGTGAGATCCTGTGGAATCAATGTGTTGGGTTGCTCAATAGTTTCTACAAATTCCATTGAATAATGCGAACAAATTACGCTGGTTTGACATTTCTCGAAAAAAAGCGTGATAATTTCACTAGAAACAATTTTTGATGTAATGTGTTAAATTTTCTGGAGATACTGGCGAAGTATGTATATGTCTATACCGTGAATAAGCATTTTTGTTTTATCAGTAGTATGGTGAATAATAAGATTTAAGTTCATTACTTGTCATTCCATTTCTAAAGCACTGAGGTCGTGAACTCAATAAAATTTATTCAAGACAACGATACAGAATCAATCACTGGTAAGCGCAAATGAGCTTATGCTTGTTTTTCACCACTGCGTAGTAACATCCTGCTTTATCAAACTAAAGCATAAATTAGTGAAACAAAATCTAATAGTTTTGAGGGTAAAAAACTCACAAGTCCTAAGCCTAGTTGTTTGACCCCATCTCTCAAAAATCTATCTACTGATCTGACATCTTCACTGAAATGAGTAGCATAAAAGCAATGATAATAGGAAAGCTGTCAAATTACCTTTCGTATTCGGAGGTAGAAGCATTGCTGGGTTCTGTGTTGTTTAAGGCATTACGTGCATACAGTTCAAATTTGCAGTCATACTTCTGCAATTACAGCCAGTTAAAAGAGTTGGTTTTTTTACAAATGCATGACTACCGTAACCTTACCATCCAATAATTTTCATTTTTGAGAGCACGAATCAGAGCATTGCGGTGTTTCTCTTCAAGCTGGTTTTGCCCCAACTCTTTGAAACAATCAACATTTTTTCTGGGTTCCGGAGAAACTAAGCCGAAAAGCTGGAATAGATACTATACTATACTTTTGTATATCTCAAAGTAAACAACTTACAGCTAGGAAGCAAAGGTAGGTAGTCATCTGTGTTTATAGCCGTCGTCCCACATCCTGGTCTCCTTTATATTGCCTTTTTTCTTCCTCGCAGTCTTTGTGTGACTATACACCTGACAAGCTTACTTTGCAAGTGAAAAAAACAAATGTCCTAGTCCTGTTGATAGTTTTCTCCCGTTGATGCTATATGTACATCATCATTATGTAGCTTTGTTGCGTGACTGGGTTCGAAGAAAAGCAATGCGGTTTTTTGTTTTTGAGCGCTGAATTATAATCATACGTCGTTCATTCAAATGATTTGAATGGTCATTTTACGAAGAATGGGCATAGGCTGTTTTCTTCTTTCTCGCTTCGAAAATGAGTCGTAAAGATTAGTGAGAAAAGTATCGGAGTAAAGTAGTTATCGTAGTGAATCAAACAAAATTAATATTAGGGTACACCACAATTATTTACCGTTTTTACCCTAAACATCAGCATTTCTCGAGAACTGGGACACATTCAAAGTTTACAAATACATTGTCGTACTTCTGTATGTATAAGCTATATGATGACACGAGTGGGAGGAGCTCAGGATGTTTAGGGGTGGAGTTTGCCATTCTATCCCGTTCCTTTTTTTTCTTTATTTTTAACAATGGAAAAAATGCGGAAATAGTACAGTTGAATGTGCGATGTCAAGCATAAGCTAGGATAAATAGAGAATTTTTAAGACATTTTGGGGGCAGAGATACGATTTTTGAAGGAAAAATACGTTCTCGACTGCTATCCGATTTCAGCCCAAAATTTCCAGTGAAATACGATTTGAGGATTCTTCACAGCCATCTTGTAGAGCTTGCTTTCTGTCGAATGATTATTCAAGCCACATTAATTGAAGGAAATTTACAAGGCGAAGGCGTAATAAAAATGGTAAAAAATTGTGGGACATCCTAATAGTTATCTTAACAAATTAAACAAAAAAAATGGTAAATGGTAATCATAAAAATGGTCTTTTATAACTGTACATATCTCTGTTCAACTTATTATGTGAAAGGGGGAGCTTTTACACTAGGCTCAAAGGCTGTTTCAAAAATTATAAGATAGATTTTACATGAATCCTCTCGTCTCTATTGGGAGATACGGAGCACTGAAGCTGAGAATATTTATGTTGCTGGACATCTTTTACTCTCTTATACGTGCCTGACTTGTATATTTACTAGTTTCTTTTTGTCTGAGGGGCAAATCAACCATAGAATAAGGTAGTCATGAATCGAGAAACGTAGGAAATGATGAAAACAGAAGCAAACAAACCAAACCTTATTTACTACTATGACACCGCTTTCAGCCAGAATTCAACTAGAGGTAGTGTTATTACATGCAGGAAATGGTCAAATTAGCGCGGCTGTGCGAGCTGCACATTTTAGAACAAATGCCACATTATATTTTCCAAAGCTTCTCCACACCCATCTAATCTTATGGCAAGCTCAAGCTCATTCAGTTCTACGCAGCGTGTGAGTATTTCGCTATCGAATGATATGGCAACTTCAATCATTATACAAATAGAGGCTATATAGGGTGTCCTAAAAATGATGTTCCTTCTTTTTGATCATTAATAACTCTCTTGTGATGAAATTTTTCGAGAAGCCTTAGGTACCACTTTGTAGAGCAAACTTCAACTTAGATTTACAGTATGGAGCAGATTACCGACTGCTCTTCGCTAATTACGGTAGGGACTTTGGAAAAGGTTTTGAGCCTTGGAAGGCCATATTCTGCCTCGGAAAGGAAACAAAACAACCCAAAACTCTCACTCTGGGCAAATTAGAGTTGCTCACTCTAAATGTGAGGTTTGCAACTTGTTATGATGCTTCATTAAAAAGTTATGCGAGGTAAGCAATAATGGCCGCTTTCTAAAGCTCCTCAAAAGTGCAGCTACAACGTTTAAAAAGCTTCTAATTTTTGTACATAGTCGAGTAGTGAACTCAGCGTCCATGAAAACCCTATTAACAAGTTTTCACAAATTTTTGGACATTTCTGAAACGGCAGCTTTTTTCATAAGGACACCACATGCTTGAAGTTTCTACCGTAATCCTAAAGTAATGAAGAGGGATCGGTGATTCGCTCTGGAATGTTGATCTAAGTTGAAACCAACTTTACAAAAAGGTACCTCTATTACAAGAGGGTCATTAGAAATCAAACAGTAGGCACATGTTTTTGGGAAACTTTGTATTTTTAGTACACTCAAGTTCCAGAAACCGTTTTCCGTTTTTTCAAGACCTTATGCGCAAAGCGGCAGAATAAGGATGAAAAGCTAGCGTCATACAGTCTCTCAAAAGATAAAGTTCAAAGTTCAAAATTATCCATTTACGCAGACCTTCAGCAGCAATATTGCAGAATATTTTATAGTTCAGTCATGTCATACTGATTTTCCTTACCGTAAAAAGTGCAAGTGAAAAAACTTTGGTGTAGAGACAATAAAAAGTTTACTTATTTTTCATCCTAGCGAGTGGAGATCCATAGTGCTGAAAACTCTATCACAAATTTTTGTTCAAATTATCTGAATTGAAAATGAACTTTTGCAATTCATTAGGCGCTCAAAAGCTGACATTTATCTCAAAGATTATAATATTTATTCATGTTCGTTGTTCATTTATTATACTGATATTCCAATTCTCAATCATAGGCGCAGACGACCTTATGCTTTTCAGCGTTATGCTTGTTCTTTTTGTAGGTGTAATAGCATCCAATGTCAGTCCACTAAATGGCACATTTAAAAAAATATACCGAAAATTTCAAAGTGAGCAGAACGTCACCTTCTTTCCTAGCTTGAAGTTCTTTACTGCCTCCTTCAAGAAAGTTTTCACCGATACAACTTTGTCGCTAAACGAGAAATAAAAAAAGCCACGGATACGGCAGCGTAGCCTACCTCATAATTCTATTGGTGAAAGTTATATTTTCTGGCACCTTTTTATTTAGGAGTTCTCTACGAGCGTACCTCTCGAGTTTGCAGTCATAGCTCTGTATTTACAAATTCAAAAAAAGTACTTCAGTGTGTGTTCAGTATCTCTTCATAGACCTAAACTTACCATCCAAGCGTTTTGAGCTCTAAGAGCACCAATCAAAATGTCGCGATATTCTTCTCCAAGCTGTCTATGTTTTAGCTCTTTAAAGCAATCAATGAAATTTCCGACTCCTAGAGAAATTAAGCCGATGAGCTGAAACAAACTACTGTTATTTCTGTTTATCAGTTGGTATTACCTGATGACTTACAACTAAAAATAAAACGGAGAGAGCCATTTGCACATAAAATGCTCTCAACTCCCCCATTTTTATATCCGTACTAATCTTGTACTCTGGAGCCATTTGTGTGATCATATGCACATCCGCCAACGGTACTTGCAGGCAAAAAATACATTGCTTTGCAAACGGACATGTATGGTCAATGTTTCAGCTAAAGCAGTGGCTTCGCACTGAAATTAAGAAGATGGAGGGCAACCTAACTTTTTATAAGGTTGTTACATGAGTTTTATTACACTTTCTTCGTCTTCATCTGGAAAACTCTAGAAAATTTGGCAGAATCTCATATCTTGCATATATGGGGAAGGGATAAAGGGCTATCCGCTGGTGCCATTTATGCCCTCACCACAAGGCTTGCAGTAAATATAAAGGCAACTCTATAGAGGCACTCCGAACTCCCTTTCTTCCTTTATTTTCTAAAAAATCTCTTATTCTTCTTTCCCAACATTTTGGATTTTTATGGACTTCTAGGACCATTGGCAGTAACTACTGGGTAGTTTGGAAGTTTAACTCTTCAGTAACCAAAATTGGAAATTTAAGAAAAAAAAATCCGAAAAATTTCCGAAAAATCGAAAATTTGATTTTTTTCAATGTGTCCATGTATAGTATTAGGCTGGTGCAAAAATAATAAGCGTTTTTATTTGCTTGCTTTAACAAAGCAACCAGACTCAACCCAACAAAGAGTAAGGGGTACTGTTCGATAGAGCAAAGCAAGCTCTACAAGATGGCACTCATGCCTTTGCGCCATGCTCGATCCACGGAGAGTTTGAACTCAAAATCTAAAGATTTCTAAATTCCCAAAAAATCGAAAAAAATCAGATCTTCGTCCAAATAATTTCTACGGACCTCCCACTCGCTCACATCAATACTATCGATATCTGATATCCATATGTGCGATTGCCGTATTTTTTCCTTGACTAGAAACTGAAAAAACGAAAATTTCCTTGATTTTCTCAAAGCAATGCTGAGCCGTTTTTGCATATGTAGTTCTATACTACAAGCCTAGGTAAGTATAACTGTAGATTTTCAGCCCATTCCAAGCGGTAGTTTTCGAAAAATAACGAATTCGGATTTTTTCGTTTCAGTTTCAGTGCTAAAATCCACATTTCTCGAAAAGTACCGCTCGAAATAGGCTGAAAACCTACAGTTATGCTTACCTAGGCTTGTAGTATAAAACTACATATGCAAAAACGGCTCAGCATTCCTTTGAGAAAATCAGGGAAATTTTCGTTTTCTCAGTTTCTTCAAGGAAAAAATACGGCAATCGCACATATGGATATCAGATATCGATAGTATTGATGTGAGCGAGTGGGAGGTCCGTAGAAATTATTTGGACGAAGATCTGATTTTTTTCGATTTTTTGGGAATTTAGAAATCTTTAGATTTTGAGTTCAAACTCTCCGTGGATCGAGCATGGCGCAAAGGCATGAGTGCCATCTTATAGAGCTTGCTTTGCTCTATCGAACAGTACCCCTTACTCTTTGTTGGGTTGAGTCTGGTTGCTTTGTTAAAGCAAGCAAATAAAAACGCTCATTATTTTTGCACCAACCTAATATATAGAAAATCTGCAACATTACACACAGCTGAAGATAAAAAAAATCATGCGACAAAATTATGAGGATCTTTTCAGTTGAGCGTAATAAAACTTATGTAACAGCCTAATATAAAGTTGAATGTCTGTTTGTCTGTATCTGCCTATTTGTATGTCTGTCTGTATTTCTGTGTGTACGTACTTTTCGAGTAGAAAGTTCCATTTTTAACCGATCCGGACCAAACTTGGTATACATGCACTTCGAGGCGGGGCGGGTGTCGTAGGCCACTTTTCGTTATCGATCGGTATTAACCTTATTGATTTTATCGATTTTTGCAAAGGTTGAGCACGGGGCTGGGAGCTGGAACAGGGGGGAGGGGGACGAACATGCTGATTAGTAACACAGGGGAATAGAAAATTGGCATATAGAAGTGTGCGAAGGGTTGTAGAGAGATAGGGATGGGAGCCTTATCATAGTGTTTTGACAGGGCTGGGCGGAGCTGGGTAAGCCAGCTAGCAACTTATAAATGAAGCATCACGGTGAAATGCAAACATTTAGATAACCATGTATTCTAATGATCATGCGGATTCAAACAGTTTTTAGAGAGGGATATTATTGAATTGCTTCGGAGCGTATCAAACACATAGCATCTCATAAGTAATCGCATTGCAATTCGCTGAAATATCGTTTTGAGATTATGAGAAACCTGCAGTGAATGATTTGCGCTGCATGTGAACGATTTTCTTTTCGAAGACTAGGTTTGAAGAATCAAGGAATCACCTTCCTTGTAATTGTCAACTCTTAACGTAGTATCGATAATGAGGCACCAAATTCAGACTTTTTTGACGGATTGAGCAAGATCTCTTCTTCGAGGAAACTGACAACTAGTTTGAGTAACAAGCGAAACTAGTGAAAAGCGTGGTAAGCTCAAGAAGAATAGGAGTTTGATAAGGTTTTGCTTCACTTTTTCACTGAGCTCCTGAAGCAGCTAATTGGTCTTATCTGGAAATTAATGATTGGAGTTGTATTATCTTTTCCAGATAAACTTCTGCGGAAAGCTTGATTAATGCTAATGTTCCTCGAATTTCGGGAAATTAAGAAATCAGACCACCCAAAAATCTTCACAGACGGTTAGTAGAAGATTTTTGAGCACTTGTCATCCTCCATGGCAATATTTCACAAATGTCTACTGCGTTGCGCTTGTTAATGTGAATTACGTTATTGCTGGTGAGAGCAAATTGTTCTGAAATGTCTTGTGCAGTTGCTTCGGTTTAGGAACAACTGTGTTGAAACGATCGAGAACTCCTTCTTACGCCCCTCCCTTCTCAAACTTCCTATCTGTACACCCCCCCCCCCCCCACACCACGCTTCTGCGGTAGACTGCATCAACTAATGTCAAGTAGCCTCGAAGGATGCCAATATTACCTTGTCTAAAAGTCGTACATTAGAGGCAAAAAATTTGCTTCCAGATCAAGTGATACTTACTTGATGCTTTCTTTCCAATGAGTTTCTTTAAATTGAAAAAGAAGAAAGTTCTAAGATTTTGACTGTACTATGTATGTTCGCAAAAAGATGGATAGCCCTCACAAAGGGGAACATCAATTTTAGTTCATTACTGACATTCAGACTACCACCTTTTAGAATGAGTTATAAATAAGAAGAAAAAGTAGCGAGTAAGAAGAAATCAAAAAGACAGACAATTTTATGTCAACTGTTGTATTAAATTGGTGGATGATGCCTGTCCCACTATTTCGTAAAATTTCAAAAAATTCTCAAAGCACTCTAGATCTTCAAATTTGGTCCATACGTATGGCACGTATGACTGATGCCGCAAATGGCTCTCAGAATCTCTGCTAGATCACTACCGTGACTGGGTCCAGTAAGCGCTCCTAGTAAGTGGTGATTTCCCATTTTATCACCGCTTATGCTCAAAAAACTGTTTTAAAAATTAGATCTTTCATTTTACGCTAACGGTTGTGAAAACTTCTCCAGATCGCAAACTTAAATTTCTATCTGTTCAACGTGCCTCCCAACGATTTTGACGTTGTCAAACCTTGACGGAAGTTGCGAGTAGCTTGCAAACTTTCCACATCTTTCCCACCGTATCAGTGTCGGTTTTAAAACTATCACTCGCAATGAAACGAATAGTGTTGAATGAGTCAAGCGTATTTCTTGTATTATTCACAATTCAAGGCAAGGACATTTCCAAGGGCAGATGATGCATTCTGACTTCTAGACGCAAAATGAATTTCCGTGTACAACTATGGAGCTTTGCAAGCCAAATTTACTATTTTCAAGTCCGTTCAAGGATGAGCTTTTCCATTCTCAATCCATTATCCATGTACTGATTGATTGTTTTTGTAATGAGTCAGTGGACTCCCACGAGCGCGGCGGTGCAGTTATGGGAAACGAACGCATAACAAGACGCAATATGTTATATGTACTATTGTATTGAAACCTGGGCATATTATAATAACTGATTTCAGTACTTTTCAATCACTTCGATTCACGACTTTGGCCGCCAAACATCTCCTCCCACTCCACGTTAGTAGTCAAAATGAGAGCTAATAAATATCGGATTTTCATGCCTACAAGTGATAGATTAGGAGGATTCAATCTCCACTATAAACCTATCAAAAGTCATCAATCTGGTCTTTTCAGTTATATATTCTATCGCTGTGCTAGATGATTTCAACGATTGCCTACTGAATCTATTTCCGTAAGCAATAGTGAAACCTACAAGGAAAAATCAATGATAGCAAACTTACCTCAACTACTGAATTTTGATCATACCTAAATCTTGTTGAATACTCGTTATGTTTTTTTTTTTGTTTTCAGGTGCCTAAAATGAAATGAAAGTACGGAGAAATGACTCTATTTTGGGAGAAGTCATCCACAAAAACTGATAATTTCTCTTTGTATCCGCTATCTCTAATCGCTCTACAAATCTATTTCAAGAAGCTCATTTTCCACATCAGCTGTTGGAGTGATTATGCTGTACACATGACTGCCAAGTTACCGCCAAGCGCAGTATAGATCTTCCTTCTTCAATTAAAACATCACCCCTTAGTTCTTCATGATCAGAGATGCAAATTTCCAAGAAAAGACTCCCTTTTTTCAATAAGCCTATTACTTAGGCTCACCCACATTATTAAGTAACTGGTTTAGGTCTAGTATTTTTTTTCAAAAACATATTTGCGCAAGAACAGCTTAAAAGACTCGCCCGAATTTTTTTTCTTTCTCAGGGTTCCTTCAAACTACGCCGCGCACGCCGCGTACGCCACGTACGCCGCGCATGAAGCGTACGCCGCTGCAGCGCAATGGAAATATGCTCACGGCAGCAAAGCTCACCTTTTTTGATGTGTCTCCATAATTACCTATTATTACGAGCGTCATTTCATCATACTGTACAGTTTTGGCCCCAGATGCGTTAACATTGTGAATGTGGAGTAAATGCAGGATGTAGAATTTTCTCTCCCTTACTCTCCTTTTTTACGTACTCTCACGAGTAAAATGACGATACTGGCAATATACCGGCTGTACTGG